CCAAGAACAGCATTTCTTCTCTAGTCTTGGCAATGAACAGAGCCAGCTATTTTGGTTTTTATTCCTTGGATTCACATGCAGAACCATTTCCCCACAGGTCTTTCCTAAGGACCTCCACTTGGTCTGCCTTGATCTGCCAGGTCACGGGGGAACTGCTCGCTTGCTCGGAGAAAGTTACACAGCAGTTGCTCAAGCTAAAAGGATATACCAGGTAGGGTATCTCTTGAACTGTGATGTGATACATTGTTTTTTGAAGGCTGGTGAGTGATAGCAAATGGGGAAAGTGAGGAGGGATGAGACATTAGATATAAACCAAGAAGAGATTTTACTGGGCAATGAAAAATATATAAAGCCATCTACTCTTTGTATTAAAAATGTAGAATCTCCTTTCAGTCAAGCATGACTTCTGGTGACTTCATGGAAATGTCTATTTGATTTCTTGGAGATAAAAGACAATATTTTACCACTGCCTTCTTTTATAAGTTTTTGCTTTAATGTTTTCGCTCCTATTTCAGTTTCAGTCAGATATTTCTAGTATCAAACCCTGCTTAACTTTCCAAAATGGCGCACTATTGGTTAGACGTTGCCGCCTGGAACATTGTGGAAAGCCAAAAAAATGGAATTACTGTAGTTTCAGAAAAATGGGTAAGCATCGGTAAACACCTCATGAAAACACAGCCACAATCTCTTTGTTCCCAATGTTTGTTTCAGTTTGTCCAGTGTGCTGGCCTGAACCACAAGCCTTTCCACCTGGTTGGCATGTCCATGGGAGGCATGGTTGCTGGGGTTTATGCCGCTCTCTATCCAGCCCACATCTCCTCTTTAGCCCTCCTCTGCCCAGCTGGTAAGTATCTATATCAAGTAAGTAAACTGTGAAGGAAAAGGCAGAATGTCTGGCCCAAACTCTACCTCATGCTGGCTGCGGAATTCTGGGAATAGAATAGGAATAGGAATAGGAATAGGAATAGGAATAGGAATAGGAATAGGAATAGGAATAGGAATAGGAATAGGAATAGGAATAGGAATGGAACGGAACGGAACGGAACGGAACGGAACGGAACGGAACAGAATAGAATAGAATAGAATTTTTTGTATTGGCCAAGTGTGATTGGACACACAAGGAATTTGTCTTGGTGCATATACTGTCAGTGTACATAAAAGAAAAGATACGTTCATCAAGAATCATAAGGTACAACACTTAATGATAGTCATAGGGTACAAATAAGCAATCAGAAAACAATCAATATCAATATATATCGTAAGGATACAAGCAACAAAGTTATAGTCATGCAGTCATAAGTGGAAGGAGATGGGTGATGGGAACGATGAGAAGATTAATAGTAGTGGAGATTTAGTAAATAGTTTGACAGTGTTTAGGGAATTACTTGTTTAGCAGAGTGATGGCGTTCAGGAAAAAACTTTTCTTGTGTCTAGTTCTTCTGGTGTGCAGTGCTCTATAGCGTCATTTTGAGGGCAGGAGTTGAAACAGTTTATGTCCAGGATGTGAGGGGGTCTGTAAATATTTTCACAGTCCTCTTTTTGACTCGTGCAGTATACAGGTCCTCAATGGAAGGCAGGTTGGTAGCAATTGTTTTTTTCTGCAGTTCTAATTATCCTCTGAAGTCTGTGTCTGTCTTGTTGGATTGCAGAACCAACCAGACAGTTATAGAGGTGCAGATGACAGACTCAATAATTCCTCTATAGAACTGTATCAGCAGCTCCTTGGGCAGTTTGAGCTTTCTGAGTTGGCACAGTACACAAGTCTTAAAGTTGCCAAGTTTGGAGACCCTTGAGCTAGATTATAATATAAGAATCTGGTGGATTGTTTGGGGATGGTTTCTCTCATCAGATGCAATACTTCCTCATGTATTTCAGGGGGGTAAGTAGAAGTAAGTTAGTAAGACCACACTTGGAATACTGCATCCAATTTTGGCCACTGCAATATAAAGATATAAAGATATTGAGACTCTAGAAAAAGTGCACAGAGTAGCAACAAAGATGATTAGAGGGCTGGCTGTTAAAATATATAATGAGTGCTTGCAGGAACTTGGCATGTCTAGTTTAGCGAAGGGAAGGACCAGAGTGACATGATAACAGTCTTCCAATATTACAAAGGTTGTCACAGAGAAAAGGGGGACAACCTATTTCTCCAAAGCAACTGAGGGCAAGAGAAAAAGTAATGGATGGAAAGAGAGATCCCACCTAGAACTAAAAATAAATTTTCTGACAGCGAGAACAATTAATCAATGGAATGGCTTGCCTTCAGAAGTTGTGGGTGCTCCAACACTGGAGATTTTTAGGAAGGGTTTGGACAGCCATTTGTCCAGAATGGTATAGGATCTCCTGCTTGAGCAGGAGATCCTTCCAAGGTCCCTGCCAACTGTTATTCTCTTAAGTGATGAGCAACTGGTGGTAGTAGTATACTTCATATAAGGTCTACCTGCCATGATTGTTAAGCTTTATGCTTGGGTTATCACCATTTTTCCTATCCAATCTTTTACCCACCAGTTATTCCACTTGTACCAGCTGTGGATATAATAATTGAAATCTAATTATGAGGAAAAAATGATATATGCTTTCTTTAAATAAATCTATGCCTGCAATTCCTGTTGAAATGGGGTAGCAATGTTGTGTTTGTCTTATATTAGCTTTTAAATTTTTGCACTTTCCCTTACTTACAGGTGTGAGGTATTTAACTGACAGTGAATTTTTTGCCCAATTACGTGAGCTGATTTTCTCTAAGGGCTCTGTGGAGAATGCTATTATCCCAGTTACAGAAGAGCAGATGGAAAACTTCATAAAGCTCTGCTTATACCATCCCATTTTTTTAAAGATTCAGGTGAAGATCTGACCTTTCATGGATTGCTATGCTGTTACCCAGTCTCTTCTGATAACATCTTCTTTCTCCTTCCCTAACTCTCTTATTTTAATGGAGTAGTCAGAGAGAGCACACAAACCAGAAGGTAAAAGAACATGAACATTTCAAAAATACAGAAACTGGAAAAGAGAGGTTGGATAGGTTCATTTGTTCATCTACCTGCCCATCCTTACATTCATTCAAACATTCTTTTTTTTTTTAAAGAAAGGTATCCTGGAACTGCTTACCATGAAATAAATAACCAAGACATTAGTGTCATCAGATTTATAGTCTAAAGACCCAGAAGAAAAAAAGAAGTAGGTTGTCCCATTGCTATAAAATGTTCCCCACAATGCTATATCACTTCAGACAAATGGTTATCCAATCTCTTCTTAAAAACTTCCAGTGTTGGAGCATTCACAACTTCTGGAGGGAAGTTGTTCCACTGATTAATGGTTTTGTTAGGAAATTTCTCCTTAGTTCTAAGTTGCTTCTCTCCTTGATTAGTTTCCACCCATTAATTCTTGTCCCGCCCTCAAGTGCTTTAGAGACTAGCTAGATTCCCTCTTCTTTGTGGCAGCCCCTGAGATATTGGAACACTGCTATCATGTCACCCCTAGTCTTCCTTTTCATCAGACTAGACATATCCAGTTCCAGCAACCTTTCTTTATGTGTTTTAGCCTCCAATCCTCTAATCATCTTTGTTGCTCTTCTCTGCACTCTTTCTAGAGTCTCGACATCTTTTTTACATCGTGGTGACCAAAACTGGATGCAGTATTCCAAGTGGGGCCTTACCAAAACATTATAAAGTGGTATTAACACTTCACGTGATCTTGATTCTATCCCTCTGTTTATGCAGCCTAGAACTCTGTTGGCTTTTTTGGCAACTGCTGCACACTGCTGGCCAGGGGTGGATTCTACTTACCTTTACTACCAGTTTGCAATGGGGCCGCGCACACATGCTTGCTTCATTCATGCATATATGCACTCTTCTGCGCATGCACAGAAGCATTTTGATGACGTCAGGATTGGTGGGCGGAGCCTCCCACCGGTTTTACCACCGGTTCTATATTGAGCGAGGTACCACATATACTGTACCTGTGCATTTGGTTTTTCTTGCCTAAATGTAGAACCTTCCTTTTTTCACCATTGAATTCCATTTTTTGAAGATGTTTCAGTTCTCATCCAAGAAGAAATGAAATGTTTTCAAGGAAAAACCAGGTCCAGTTGCCTATGAAAAAGTACCTTTGGGATTCTATGACAAGGCTAGAAATTAAACAGGCAATCTGAGGATTACAGATTTAATTTTTCTCAGCTGTGAATGACTGAAACTGCCCTTAGATACTTTTTAAAAATTAACCATTTTTTCCCAAGACTACTTTCCTCTTCTCCTCTTCATCTTTTTTACCTACAGGTTCAATCCTGCTTTACTCATTGTTGACTAAGTTGTCAAGAATGGGCTTGAACCAGTCACTGTAAATTATCTTCATCAAAATATCCAGCCTAATATTGAGCGTCTCCCTGTAAGAAGTTTTCAAAATGACTGTTATAGGATAAGATGATTTTAGTGAAAAGAATTATACTCATCAATGCAATGAATTGCTAATCAGGAATGTGGTTGTGCATATCCAGCTTTCCTGGACATTGCCCTGCTGTAGTGCAAATGACAAAATGTACAACACAGTGACTCAAGGACCATTCTTTAGGTACTTGCATTCATTGGCATCCTTCAGTCTCAAAAGACTATGGTATCGTGCTCTGGAAAGAGGCCCTAAAACAGCATCTAGTGTGACTAAAAAGGCCAATTCGAGAGTGGCAATCCCTTCCACACTGAGGGCAGATACATTCTGTCCCCTGTCCAGCCCTCAGATTTCGCTGGTTCTGGGACTGCCTCTTTGCCTCAGCCTGCTGAACAAGTGTCTCTTCGAATTGGAGAAGGCCATGCTGCGTCTTTAGCCTCCAAGCTGAATGATCAGAGGTCAAGGTTTCCCAGTTGTTAATGTCCATTCCCAGGGCCTTTAGGTCCCTCTTGCAGATATCCTTATATTGCAGCTGTAGTCTCCCTCTGAGGCGATTTCCCTGCACTAATTCTCCATACAGGAGATCTTTCGTACTTGCATATGATGTCATGATTCAAATATGAAAGGGCAAACTTGCCTTAGAAAAACGTGATACTTATTTCATCACGTTGGTGTCCCTAGAGTTGAGAATGAGCATACTTACGCTTGGCTTTTTACACTTTTCAAAGAAAAGTGTAAGAAATCGCAAATTCCCATTCAAACATAATTCAATACAATCTAATTTATTCTATAAGCCTCCCAGAGTTGTCCTAGGGGGAAGATGCGGGCAGCATATAACTTTAATAAATAAAATAAAATAAAATTAATAACTTCTGACTTGCCCTTTGATTTCTCCACTTTTAGCTCCTAAAGGGATATCTTGAAGATCGGACATCACACAAGTCTGTTTTTGTAAAATGTAAGTACAAGACACAGTATGGATCAGACCACATTTCAGAAAGACAAGCCTATATTTAGCACCAATACAATCAATCCAGCATCAACTCCCCACTCAGCACAGACTGATTGCATTTGCATGTTATATTTGACAGAACAGAATAGCAGAGTTAGAAGGCACCTTTGAGGTCATCTGGTCCAACCCCCTGCTCAAGCATATAACCTATACCATATCAGACAATGTAAACCTCCAGTGATGGAGCGCCCACAACTTCTGAAGGCAAGCCATTCCACGGGTTAATTGTTCTCAATGTTAGGAAAGTTCTGTTTATTTATGGGTTGGATTTGAGACTTGATTCCTGATTTTTAAAATGTTAAATAGTCTTGGGGAAATCAGTGGTCTCTTGATACAGTATACTGTAGCTGTACCACTCTGCACACTGAGGTACCACAGTTCAGATCTCCTTTGTATTCGTCATAAATCAGCCTTAGTGTTGTGGCCCGTACGTGACCTGTGCAGCTAGTAGCTGATTCAGACAGCGAGGAGGCTGGTGTGGTGCTGCTCCAGCAGCATTTGCAGCTGGCACTCGAGTCGGACAATGAGGAGGCTGGAGAAGAGGTGGTGCCAGAGGCAGGGATTCAGCCAGGGCCTTCAGAACCTCCAGAAGCTCCTTTAAGTGAAGAGGACGAAGAGGAGGAGCCTCTTCTCAATGCACGGGCGCGCAGAGCTGCCAAAAGGCAGGAGTGGCTCCTCAGGAGGAGGTCTCCTCGAGAGTAAGGCTTGGGGCTAATTGGCCACTCCCTTAGCCTATTTAAGGAGGAACGCCGACTGAAGCAATTTGCAGGGAACAACTTACTTTACATACCTTCGTGTCTTGTCTTGCTTATCTTATCAGCTTCCTGCAAATTGCTTCTGGGCATTCTGCCAACCATAGTAAGCTTTCAGTTATTATTCTTTGAATTCTTGGCGGCTGTTAATGCAACTAATTAACAACCGTTGTTGTAAAAGACTGGTTTATTTAGTAAACTAAGGTTTGAACGGACTTTGTGTGTGCTGCGTTCTATGGGGTCCGTAGCTGGGGCAGAACACTTTCCCAATTTACAAGCCTTCCAAGGTTGTTAGGAATAAAACTCCCATAATTCCCAGTCAATTCAATCCCCATTGGGTGTGGAGTCCAGAGGTTATTGTCCAGCTATGCTAGAGAGATGCATGTTGGAAAAGCTGCTGGACTGACATTTAATCAGCCAAATGGGGCAGCAAAAGGTTCAAGTTATCATTCCAGCCAAGCGTTTGTTAATTAAGTTTGCTCATCTCCCTATTTATAAGAAAACTGAAGAACAGAAACAGGCAAAGCCCATGACAGGTTTCACTGCTCATTAGAATGGGGGGTGGGGGGGAGAGAAAACATAAACCAATTCTGCTTCCTTTTATTGAGAAAGGTTTTCTGGACCTCACCAGTGGTCAATCGAAGTACAGCCTCCATGAGAACATGAGGAAAATCAGAGCTCCCACCCAGATCATTTGGGGAAAGGACGACAAGGTAAGGGATGTATATTTGTCTGGGGTTTTGTGCACACTGTGTGTTGTAATGAGGCAAGGAAACCCTCACAACAATGGAAATTATTGTATTACTAGAGAATTGTACTTGGCCTGGATTAAAGGCTCAGTGCCTGCCTTTTTTTAAATATTGGAACGTGATGCCCACCAATAAAGGAAGGCAGTTGTGGAATTCAATTTTTTTTACTACAGGTTCTGTGGGCATGGCTTGGTGGGCGTGGTGTGGCTTGGTGGGTGTGGCAGGGAAAGATCCCCATTCTCTCCCCACTCCTGGGTGAAGGATATTGCAAAACCTCCAATCCCACCCCACTCTGGGGCCAGCCAGAGGTGGTATTTGCCGGTTCTCCGAATTACTCAAAATTTCCGCTACCAGTTCTCCAGAACCTTTCAGAACCTTCTGAATAGCACCCCTGAAGGAAGGACTGGAAGCACACACCTTCCTAGATAGCAGAAACGAACCATTTTCATTAGTGTGAGGGCTTTGCATGGCTTGTCAAGGGTCACACTCCAGAAGAGGGCAGGATGAGGATTTATTTGGGAGACTTCAGGGCTTTTAAGTATCAAAGAAGCTGTTAGGCAAATACTTCTTTCGTCCCTTTATCCCCTTCCCCCAAATTTAGACACAAACAGACCTCGTTCTCTCCACTGACTGGATCAGGGGAAGGTAATTTTTATTATTTCTTTAGGGAATTTACAAATTAAATGAAAACAAAAACAAAGATTTGATTTCACGATTTTGGAAATCATTGTTAACATGTTAGCAAGAAAGAGAGAGGGAGGGAGAGAGAGAGAGAGAGAGAGAGACAGAGACAGAGAGACAGAGAGAGACAGAGAGAAGAAGAGAGAGAACATGTTTTATTTCTTCCTCCTGGGCTAAGGTGAAGAGTTAAAATAGGGAGATTTTTCATCATAATCATCATCATCATCCCCCAGTGAGGCACTAACTTGACATCAGTGGTGGAATTCAATTTTTTTTATTACCAGTTCTGTGGGCATGGCTTGGTGAGCATGATGTGGCTTGGTAGGCGTGACAGGGAAAGGATACTGCAAAATCTCCATTTCCACCTCACTCCAGGAGAAGGATACTGCAAAATCCCCATTCCCTCCCCACTCCAGGGGAAGGATATTGCAAAATCTCCATTCCCACCCCACTCTGGGGCCAGCCAGAGGTGGTATTTGCCGGTTCTCCGAACTACTCAAAATGTCCGCTACTGGTTCTCCAGAACCTGTCAGAACCTGCTGAATAGCACCCCTGCTTGACATGGTTGTGAGACTTTTTATGCTCTGAGGATGATGAAAGCTATGCCAGAGATTCAACCATACCGGAAATCAGAGGATTTTGCCCACCAAGCTACACCACGCCTACCAAGCCTTGCCTACAGAACCGGTAGTAAAAAAAATTTGAATTCCACCACTGGGACTACCTGTAACCAACTGTTGAGAGTAAGAAGGATGGCCTTGTTAGAGATATGTAGAAGCTGCCTAGGCAAAAGAAACAAACATTTTTTTAAAAAAATCCCCTCCCACTTACATTGACAGAGCAAGCCAAGAGTATGTAAAATAAGAGTAAACCTCACTCCCTGCTGATTATACAGTATTACCTAGTTTGGTAATGAAATGTCTGCAAGTAAACAAGTTCAGAGGACACCAAGGACCCCACAAATAAAAGTTCAGATAGGAGGAGGGGGGAGGAAGGAGGAGGAGAAATGGTATTTTTCACCAAAAAGGAACATCAGCTGTTTCTTTCACTTTGGTTAAACATGAATGATTGGTAACTTGATCAGTACGATCATCTTCTTAATTTTTCTAGTTTAGATAAGCTTTGCTGTAAGAAAAGATGAGAACTAAGATTTTACACAGAAAGACATAAACCAAGAGAATCCAGACCTGCCTAAAAGGTTTAATGAAGGAAAGTTTAAGTTTAATGACTCTGTGCTTGAAGAAACAATAATATGCACAAGGCCATCCAACTGCTTCATTCGTTAATAGCCTTTCACATCAGGAGATCCTTTCTATGTCCTTTAAAAAGACTTTCGAGGGAAAGAGAAAATTCAATGTTTTTTTGTTGTAGGTCTTCGATTCTTCAGGTGCAGCAGTTCTGGCGGCTGCCATTCCTAAATCCCAAGTGCATTGGCTGGAAAAATGTGGACACTTCATAACCCTCGAGAGGCCCAGGACGTCTGCAAAGCTCCTCTTGGAATTCTACAAATCGGTCTGTGATTCAACCGAGCAGAAGAAAGTGGCCTGAGGCTCAGGAAGTGCCAGGTGGCTGGAGACAGGCAAGGTCTGCCCAACCACCAGACCCATATTGACTTCTCTGGCTGATACAACGGGAGCTACAACTCAAGATATTTAGTAGGCAGCAAAAGAGGTGGGGACCTAGAGAGAACAAAGCTTTGCACCACCATTCCAGAAAGACTGATCAAGAATTGATCCAACTTTCTAATGGAACTTGTACTTCTGTGTGTGTAGCATCTTTTCTAACAAAGCTTGCAGTACAACAATCTGTTTATAGTGATTAGAGTGGAATGTCACTCTATAGCAGGAGTCTCCAAACTTGGCAACTTTAAGACTTGTGGACTTCAACTCCCAGAATTCCTCAGCAAAGCTGGCTGAGGAAATTCTGGAAGCTGGCTGAGCAAAGCTGGCTGAGGAATTCTGGGAGTTGAAGTCCACAAGTCTTAAAGTTGCCAAGTTTGAAGACCCTTGCTCTATAGAAACACTACACTACGCTCCAGAGCAGCAATATCATAAGGTAGCTAATTGTCCTTGTGTCCTGCTTTTGAATTTGAGGTGGTTGAGAGAGATGCACTGAGCATAACAATGTGTTTGTTTGGTAGAATTGTATCCCACCTTTCCTTGAAGAACCACAAGCCAGCATCACTTCCTTCCCATTTTGACTGGCCCAAGGTCATCATCCTGTGACCTTTTATGGTTGAGGGAGGATTGGAATCTGGGTGGCTCAGTGGCTAAGACACTGAGCTTGTTGATCAGAAAGGCCAGCAGTTCGGCGGTTCGAATCCCTAGTACAGGTCTCCGGTGTGAGCAGGGGTTGGACTAGATGACCTCCAAGGTCCCTTCCAACTCTGTGTTACTGTTACATCTTTAATTCTAGGCCAACCCTATGCCATGTAGGTCCTGCTCGCCTTACAACCACAGCCGGGACCAGAATTTCCATTGCCGAGCAAGGCAGTTGTGAGTTGTGCCCAATTTCACAACCTTTCCTTGCCTTCGTTGTTTGACTTAGTTTTCATATGAATCATGTGCTCATTAAGTGAATCCAGCTTCCCCCATTGACTTTGCTTGTTGGAAACTGGCTAGGAAGGTCACAAATTACTTGATCCCAGCATGCTGCAAAGTCGTAAATACAGGTTGGTCGCCAAAACAGCTGAATTTTTTTGATCGTATGACAGTGGGGATGCTGTGACAGTTCACAAGCCATTTTTATAAAGTGTTGTAATTTCCAATGGTCACTAAATGAATGGTTGTAAGTCGAGGACTATCTCTTCTGGCTCAGTGCAAGCAAGCAATTCTTGAGCTTTAAACAAGCTTGAATACTGAGCACCACCATTTCATATGAATGCTGCAACATCACGGGGAAAGAATACGCCCTCCGAATCATGCCTTTCCTTTACAAAGAGCTCAGTTCTTAGCAAAGAAGGTTTTGCAATGTAGTAAAAAAAAAATGGTATTGCTGAAGGCAAGTAAATTACTCTCTCTCTCTCTCTCTCTCTCTCTCTCTCTCTCTCTCTCTCTCTCTCTCTCCAAATCTCCTTTGTCATAGATGTGACAAACAGTAAACCCTGTCAGCTCACCTATAAAACATTAAGAATGCCAAGGAATGTTGATAAAGTTGCAAAAAATTACAAGGAGTTAATAGAACCCCACAACTGACCAGACTAAGTACATAATATGCTGCTATATTCAAATTCTTGGTTGATATATCCAATCACATGCTCATTCTAATCCAGGGGTGTCAAACTCAAGGCCCAGGGGCTGGATATGGCTCGCGGGGTGCTTAGATGTGGTCTGTGGGGCTGCCCTGGAAACAGTGAAGGACTGGCCCACAGTGCCTCTGCCAGCAAAATGGAGCTTGGGAGGGCTGTGTGCGGCCCTCCCAAGCTCTGTTTTTGCTGGCAGAGGGTTGCAGGAGGCCATCGCAGCCAAAAACAGATCTCGCGAGGGCCACGGGTGGCACTCCAAAGCTCCGTTTCTGCTGGCAGAGGGTTGCAGCCAAAATGGAGCTTGGGAGCCTGTTTTTGTTGACAAAGCACTCGGGCCACTACAGGCGCTCCCAACACGAGTGACGTCGAGCTGGCTACGCCCACCCTGGCCATGTCCACCCAGTTTGACCCCCCAAGGTCAAACACAACCCTGATGCGGCCCTCAATGAAATCGAGTTTGAGAACCCCTGTTCTAATTTGCATAATTCTCTATTGTGAGATTGCAATCTCACCCTTTTAATTTACTACCATAATAATAAATTATGTTTCAATGAATTTTCATCCAATCTCCGAACTGTGTATTGTTTTGGTAACAATTCCATCTTCTTTCTGTCCCTTTGTTTATGACCTTGCTGATGAAAGCAAACGAGCTAGAAATGGATCTATTTAGGTCTCCCACCTAGCAGTTAGAGCTTGCTAGCTGTTAGAAAGGAAAAAAAGCCCAGAACCGAGTAGATGTTGATTCTACTGAGCTGGAGCTACAAAAAACCTTGGTTACGTAGGGAAAACCTGGCTAGAAGAAAAACACACATAAACCCTACGAAGAAGTAAGAAAATTGATACTGCACCTTTACAGGGAGGATACATAAGATATGGGTGTGGCCTACTGATGAAAGCAAACGAGCTAGAAATGGATCTATTTAGGTCTCCCACCTAGCAGTTACAGCTTGCTAGCTGTTAGAAAGGAAAAAAGCCCAGAACCGAGTAGATGTGATTCTACTGAGCTGGAGCTACAAAAAACCTTGGTTACATAGGGAAAACCTGGCTAGAAGAAAAACACACATAAACCCTACGAAGAAGTAAGAAAATATATATATATGTATATACTTCTCACTTGAGGCACAAATAAGCACAGACTATTTTTTGGGTGAGATAGAACAATGTGGGATAGACAGTACCATCATCACATGGATTCACAGTTGGCTGACCAACTGCGCTCAATATGTGGCCCTCAACTGAACTACATCTATAGGGAGGCAAGCATGCAGTGGGGTACCTCAAGGTTCTAAATGATCAAGATGAGGGGATAGAAGGAGAACACATCAAATGTGAAGATGACACCAAGCTGGAGTGGGATTGCCAACACTTTGGAAGATGGACTCAAGATTCAGAAGCATCTTGTCAGCACTTGAACATTGGGCCACAAGATCCAACAAGATGCAGTTCCATGGTGAGGAAAGTAAGGTCCTGCACTTAGGTAAGAAAAAACAATTAGACAGGTGTAGACCAGGCAGTATCGGACTCAACAGTAATAACTGTGAGAATGATCTAGATGTCCAAGTGGACCACCACTTAAATATGAGCTATCAGAGTGCTGCAGTTGCAAAATAAGCAAATACTGCCCTAGGCTGCCTCAACAGAAGAATAGCATCCAGATCATGAGAAATGATAGTACTGCTCTATGCAGCACTAGTGAGGCCACATCTGGAATGCTGTGTCCAGTTCTGGTCACCACAATACAAAAAAAAAACCTAGAAAGAGTGCAGAGAAGAACAACAAAGATAAAGGCTAAATCGTACAATGAATGGTTACGGGAACTAGGTATGTCTAACCCAGTGGTGGAATTCAAATTTTTTTACTACCAGTTCTGTGGGCGTGGCTTGGTGGGCGTGGCTTGGTGGGGGTGGCAGGGGAAGGATACTGCAAAATCTCCATTCCCTCCCCACTCTGGGCCCAGCTAGAGGTGGTATTTTCCAGTTCTCCGAACTACTCAAAATGTCTGCTACCAGTTCTCCAGAACCTGTCAGAACCTGCTGAATAGCACCCCTGGTCTAACTTAACAAAGAGAAGGATTAGGGGTGACATGATAGCTGTTTCCAGTACTTGAGGGGCTGTCACAGAGAAGAGAAAGTTGCAAATCACTTGAGGGCAGGACAAGAAGCAATGGGCGAAACTCTTTAAAGAGAGATTCAACTTGGAACTAAGGAGAAATTTCCTGACAGTGAGAACAATTAATTAATGGAACAACTTGCCTCCTGGATTTGAGGGTGCTCCATCACTGAAGATGTTTTGAAGAAAATATTGGACATCCATTTGTCCAGAATGCAATACATTCTCCTATCTTGGGCAGAGGGTTGGAGTAGACCTCTAAGGTCACTTCCAGCCCTATCATCCTCTTTTAACGACCCCATAATCCCTTGCAGAGTGGATTCCGGCCAACTGAATGGAGCTGACTGTTCTGGCTGGATGCCCTTCCTGTCACCAATTCAGAAGTATTTTTTCAGCAGATATATTCTCAGTGTGCCCAGAGAGAAATATCTGCCTCTACCTAGGATCAAACTCACAGCCTCCTGATTGTGAGGCGAGAGCTCCACCTCTAGGCCACTACACCACTCATCTTTTGCAGCCCTATGATTCTATATAATTATTATACAATCACATTGTGTGAAAACCTAGCTCAGTGATGGCTAACCTTTTTGCCATCGCGTGCCAAAAGTGGGGGGAGCGCGGGGGGATCATGTACGCGTGCCCACACCCATAATTCTATGTGCCCCGCCCCTGGTGCATGTACGCATGACACCCCCCCATGCTCCCCCCGCTTTTGGCACATGATGGCATGGTGGGCCCAGTACACCCGTTTTTTGCTCTCCCCAGGCTCCAGAGCCTCTCTAGGAACCTGGGGAGGGCAAAAATGGCCTCTCCACCCCCACCCCCGAGGCCCTCCGGAGGCAGAAAACGGCCCGTTTGCTGACTTCCAGAAGTCCCACGGATATGGCTTGCGTGCCCACCGATATGGCTCCGTGTGCCACCTGTGGCAAGCGTGCCATATGTTCGCCATCACGGACCTAGCTCTTCAGCCAAAGCAGTTGTAGAAAAAATGTTTTTAAAAGCCTCTGACGATCCCAGCTGAGTTGCCTGATCGTCAGAGGCTTTTATAAGCATTTTTTCCTGCAACTTCTTCAGCCAAAGAGGTTGTTTTAAAAAATGCTTTTAAAAGCCTCTGACGATCCCAGCTGAGCCGCACGATCATCAGAGGCTTTTTTTTTTTTACTTTTAAAAGCAATTTTTCGGCTGAAGAGGTTGTAGAAAAAATGCTTTTAAAAATAAAAAAAAAGCCTCTGATGATTGTGCGGCTCAGCTGGGCATGGGGCAGGGGTGGCAGGGATTTTTGCTACCGGTTCTCCAAACCACCAGCCGCATTTCACCCCTGACCAGGATGGAGACCAAATGTCTTGTGGGGGTGGGGGGAAACAATCTCTAATAGTCGACACCGACTTGGTGGCACATAATCAATGACTTACGGGACATCCATTGTATACCTTATGAATATTTACCAATCTTGTTACAAGATGTCTTGTTACAAGATGCCAATGGG